CCCCCCCCCTCCTCAACCTCCTCCAACCTCAACCACCGGTGCTGTATCTCAAGGAGCTGGAACAACTTCCTCCGGAGGTATGCCGCCCCAGGGTGTTGCTTTCGTCCCACACCAGCAATCGCAGCAACAGCAACAACACCAACTACAACAGGCACAGCCACAACAACAACAACAACAACAGCCTTCGCAGCAATTTTTGCAGCAACAACACGAGCAGCAACAACAACAGCAACAACGACGACAAGCTCAGCAACAGCAGTTCTACCAACAGCAACAACAGTGGAATCAACAGCAACAACATCAGCAGCCCTTCTACCAACAAAGGGGAGGAGGATTGTCCAATTTGGGAGGGGGTATTTGTCAATCGGAAAGGGCAGCAGTTGCAGCAGCAACTGGCGTTTCCAGAATCTTCTCATCAGGTACAAGAGTGTCGGTCTTGTCAAACCAAGACACGACAGGACTTCTCTCATCAGGCTTACAAGCAGGTAACTTGTCCACGCCTTTCTTCGGTCAACCTTTGACAATCGGAATGCAGCACTTTCACAAGGACCAGGTATTGCACACTTCTCTATCCCGGGTATTCCTACATCTCTAATCTAGTCAACCCTAGGTCAAATCACAACCCACTTCCCGGTTTGGAACAGTATGTAACCCTTCACGCTAATCCAGGTTATGCAGGTCAGAAGGGCAGTCAGTCCTCTCTTTCGTCAAATAATGAGCGATCCTTCAGGAGTCAGGGTAGTGGTTCCTTCTGTTCAGCAGCGTTGGATGGAGTTTACACTAACTCCGTTTTCACCCCCACGACACAGACCCCGATAGGGACCGGTAATCACCCGAATCCTAACTACGTCCAACAACCCACGGTCGTGGAAAATCAGGAAAGTCCAGGCGGCTCTAGACTGATCCCCCAATCAAGCAGCTTTCTACCCGCCTCCCTGACCGATCAAGGGATAGGGATAGGGGGAACGCGATATAAAGGACAAGGGGAGCTGTCTATGAACTCTTCCCGATTGGGAAGTGCGGATGGAGCACCATGCAAATCCATACGCATGGGCACAGAAGGGGAAGGGGAGATAACTAGGGAAGAGGAAGAAGACGACATGGAGATTAGGAGTATGGCATCCCGACAAATCATCGAATGTCGAGTCAGATCATCTTGGTTGTGGTAGCCAACGATCAGGGCAAGGAGGGAAGTCCAAATCAGGTCAGGCAATTACGTCCGCCAGTTTCCTGGTCATCCTTGGCATCTCGCCATCAGCACAAGGCCTGAAGGTTATGACCTTACATACGCCAGAGGGTAAACTTGCCCTACCGACAGTCCCGGTTTCTGTCCCTCCGACCACTCGTTCGGTGCTTTTACCACTCCTACAGACCTCATTGGGAGATAGGATGCAGTACCGCCTGATCCCAGGAGTCCGCCTGGGAAGGAAATCACGCAAGGTCTCAGACAATTTCTCGATTGCCTTTTTCATAGTAATTCTTGATATTAAACAGTCACTAGAGATGCGGCTGACTTGGGAAAAGGATAGGGGCACATGGCTCCCTGCGAACTGGTTTGCTTCCAAAATGACCCCAGAACTCGCTGATGTGACTTTACAGCCTGGGGTGGACGCCCATCTGGTGGCATAGTTTTGTGCGTCCTTGCCTAGCAATAGACAACTCATGTCACCAGGTCTGAAGGGCATCCTCAAAACCGCATGGCCGGAAGGAGGACCTTCGAAAGTGAAAACTACACCTAGAAGGCTAGAAGGCAAAAAACCGGAAAGACAGACCAGATCCAACTAGGAGGAGGTCAATCAGTAACCAATGAATAAATTGAAAGTGGCCACATGTTTGGGGACTGGGCGACACAGGGGCACGGAAAAAGAAACCTCGATTGAAAACATGGGTGCATAATGAAGGAATCCATATCGTCCTCCTTCAAGAAACGAAGCTTGACGACAATAAGGTGAGGAAAATGGAACGCTGGTGGACTGGGCCACAATTCTGGGCCCCTGCCCAGGACTTGCGAGGAGGGACTGCTATCTTGATACATAAAAAGGTAGATTTGACGATAACGGACCATATGACTGACCTCTGGGATGGTGGGTATGGGTATCCTTTTTGTATGAAGGTAGGGAATGGGCAGTAATGTCAGTGTATGCGTCGGCGGAATATGGGGAACGACTATGTTTCTTTTCTGAATTGCCTTATCTTCTTCTATAGGTAGAAAATCTGATAGTTGGAGGAGATTGGAATACAGTTTTCTGCCCTGGCCTTGACTCACCTGAAACATGGAATAGCAGGGTTGATGCCACCCGACTCCTATCCTTCATGGAACAACATGAGTTGGTGGACCCCTACAGGGTTTTCAATCCTTTAGAACCAGGTGTTACTTGGTATTCTAGCCAACGTTTCCTTGACAGATTGCCACCGCGCAAACGCTTGGACTTCTTCTTGGTTCGAGCCAAAGCATGGGAACTCCTGACTGATATCGCTCTGGACTCACACCCCATGTACGATCACAAGCCAATCGTAGCACAATTTAAAATTTCAGGCACGACTCACAGGGGCCCAGGAATCTTTCGTTTAAATACAGAGAATCTACAGGTTCCAACAATAAAGGAGTGGTGCATCAAGCATTGGCAGGCCTGGGAGAAAGCCAGAGACTTCTTCCCCTCAGAAGATGAATGGTTAGGAACGGGCTTACGTATTACAACCAAGGCTATGGATGTTTTTTCGAGAATCCTAGCCTATGGCTGTCACAAGGAGGAGGATCAATGTCAGGAGAAGATCAGGGAAGCGGAGGACCATTTCGGGGAACACCCAATCTCCGATACTTACTGCGAACATGAACGGGACCGCTAGATGGGGAAATGGGAAAGTTCACAAATTCAGAAGCAAGAAGTCTGGGCCCGTAGAGCAAGAATGAGGGGTATGTTATAGTCCGATCGAATGACAACGGAAACCTTTAAGAGGCTTCTACCTGCACACTTTCACACCACCTTCAAAGAGTTGAACCACCCTTTTGTGGCACAGGAGGAGATAGCAAAAGATATAGAATCAATTTGTACATACGCCCAAACTTACTTCAACGATACACTTACCTCCCGCAGACCTTTTGGGGAATCCCCAACAGAAATGCGGGAGGAAAGTGATATATTATCGGTAGCTACTACGGTCTCCCTTACACAGTCTGATAGACTCCTGCTAGACAGACCCCTCACATTGGATGAGATAACAGAAGCCAGACAACGGATGGCTAAGGGCAAATGCTCAGGCGACGATGGCTTGCCTGTAGAATACTTTGAAATCGTATGGAACCAGGTAGGTCCGCCGTTGCTGCGTATTTATAATAATATCCTACTTGGGGGTCGACTCACAACAGATATGTCTAGGGGAATCATCTCTCTACTGTACAAAAAAGGGGACACAAAGAACATGAGGAATTATCACCTTATCTCTTTACTAAATATCACCTACAAGATCTTCGCAAAGGCTCTGGCCATTCGTCTGGCCCCACATCTACCTCACCTTGTGGCAACTGACCAAGGCGCTTTTGTCAAAGGTTGTTCAATAATGGACAACATCATGATGGCGATTGAAGCCTTGGAGTCTTTGGAGATAGTTGGGAGGGAGGATAGGGCGGTGGCCATCATGATGTTGGATCTTGAAAAGGCCTATGACAGGGTCAACTGGACTTTTGTCCAAGCCACCCTAGAATTGATGAACTTTTGTCCTAACTTCTCACGTCGGGTTAACGTAATGTACTTTCTATCTACGACCGTAGTTTTAGTCAATGGGACTCTGTCTGAGGGATTCTGCCTTACTCATTCTCTGCGCCAAGGTTGCCCCTTGGCAGCGCTGTTGTTTGTGATTCAGATGGAAGTGGTACTAAACACCATTAGGAAACATCCCCAGATCATAAGTCTAACAATCCGACCGAAGGTCCAGGCAGTCACTGGTGCCATAGCCGATGATCTCATAACAATTAGTCAGGACACAGAAGAATCACTCACTGCAATGAAGAAGGTTTTGGACCAATACTGTCTGCTATCGGAGGTGAGGGTTAACTGGGACAAGTCTCTTTTTTTTCTACCGGATTTTTATGATCTTCACAGATTCTTCAGGCACACTGGGGGTCAGTGGGGGATGAAGAGAATGCATGGTTGCAATGCGGATACTATCCTCACACAGACTGTCAAACCGCTCAGGATGCCAATACAAGCAAGAATAGACCGCTACCAATCCTCACACAACCTGTCACTTTTTGGAAGAACTTTGGTATTAAATACATTTGTCTTCTCGCGCCTTTGGTTCGTTTTCGCAATTAGGCGGTCCTCAAAAGGAACTATCGCTAAAGTTCTTGAAGCAAATGTCAAGTTCTTATGGAGCCCAGATAAAAAGGAAGGGAGATAAATGTCAAAACTGGCATGGAAGAAGGTTACAACACCTTTTTCACAAGGAGGGCTGAATATTACAGATCTGGAAGATCACAACCTGGCACTCTTGGCCAAATGGATGATGAAGATTGCCACGCTGGAAGAGGAAAGGGCATGGGTAAGCTTGGGGGAGTATATCTTGCAATATGATTGGGGGTTATCCAGGGAGGAAGACATCTGGGTAGTACACAGATGACCTCGTTCCTGTGTCGGGGCTCTTCATTCCAAGTTTGGTCAGACATCTTGAAAGTTTGGCAGAAGCTTAGACCGAGGAATCTTAAAGTAAATTCAAAGAGTGTGGTGCTGAGGCAAAACCTGTTTGACAACCCGATGATTTTAGATCTACTAGGAGAGTCGTTCCAAGCCACTAATGCGAAAGGGTGTTTCGGCAGGAAGTGGGTGGCGCGGGTTATAGTCTCCATTAGAGATCTGTGGGACGAGGAAGGAAAATAGTGGCGAACGGAGAATGATCTACGGGAAAAACTAGGGGGGTTGAGGCATGTTGGACCAAGATCGAAGGACCTGATAACTGCTATCCGAGACGAATGGAAGGAACTCATTCTTGAGGAAGGCTACACCAATTTAGCCTGGTATCACCTGGAGAACTCAAACCGAGAGGGAGAAAGCTATGCAGGGGTGCTTTCAGACGAAGGAGATATTGTTATTGTAGAAGAATGGGTATCGCAGGTTGATGCAAGCAACTACATTTGCTACGAAGGCACAGTTACACAGAGCCCGGAGGACCTGGGTGATGTTAGGACACACAGGCCCCGGTTGGGGCAGCTGCGCTAACGCTAGCGCCCTGACGCCGGCGGACTGGCGAGGCCCGGTCTCCCCGGCTAAACTAGCGCCAGGGGAGGGAAGCTCCTTGCTTGCTAGGCCTGGGCGCGCGCCCGATAGTCGTGCGTGGCTTCCTTTTGCCACATGGCGTCTATTGATTGGTGACGTGGCCGTCCCACGACGCACGCGCAGGGGTAGCACCAGTAGTGAGCTCGACACGGAAACACAAGTGGAGTGCAGCTATCAGGGTTGAGGTGGGGGGGGAGCTACAACGACAAGCAGATGATTGGCTGGTGACATTGGAGCAGGGATGCAGGCGGTTACAGATGATGGTAGGAGAGTTGTCTTTGCGGTCAATTGAGGAGCCAGAAGACGAAGGGGGAGCGATCTCTATGGCTGTTTGGTTGAAGAAAATGGTCGACGACATATTGGATATCATCTGGTGGCTGGAGGAGGGGCCGGATCCCCAGTTGGAAGCCTGCATCGTCTGGAAGAGGGCAGAGGCCATGATGTCTACCTGCTATGACCTCTTCACTGAGGGTCGCAACCTGCGCTATAAGCTTGAAGACCGGTTGAAGGGCAAAGACGACCTGGAGGGTGAGGATTGGCAGGAGGACGGAGCGCAGGGAGATGAGGTTGACTCCAACATCAGCATCAACAACAACAACATCAACGATAACAACAACACCAACAACAACAACAACAACGACTACAACAACAACAACAACGACAACAACAACGGTTACAGCGGCAACAATAATGATGACAACATCAGCATCAATAACCAAAACGTCAACAACAACACCTACAACAGGAGCGCTGAACATGGCAGCAGCGGGGTGGAGAACGGTGCCCCCACAATTCCGTCCGTTGCCCAATGTTAGGACACACAGGCCCCGGTTGGGGCAGCTGCGCGCCGCTAACGCTAGCGCCCTGACGCCGGCGGACCGGCGAGGCCCGGTCTCCCCGGCTAGACTCGCGCCAGGGGAGGGAAGCTCCTCGGCTGCTAGGCCTGGGCGCGCGCCCGACAGTCGTGCGTGGCTTCCTTTTGCCACATGGCGTCTGTTGATTGGTGATGTGGCCGTCCCTCGACGCGCGCGCAGGGCTAGTGCCAGAAGTGAGGTCGATGCGGAAACACAAGTGGAGCGCAACTATCAGGGTTAGAGATGGAGGTGGGGGGGGAGCTACAACGACAAGCAGATGATTGGCTGGTGACATTGGAGCAGGGATGCAGGCGGTTACAGATGATGGTGGGAGAGCTGTCTTTGCGGTCAATTGAGGAGCTAGAAGACGAAGGGGAGCGATCTCTATGGCTGTTTGGTTGAAGAATATGGCCGACGACATGCTGGATATCATCTGGTGGCTGGAGGAGGGGCCGGATCCCCAGCTAGAAACCTGCATCGACTGGAAGAGGGCAGAGGCCATGATGTCTACCTGCTATGACCTCTTCGCTGAGGGTCGCAACCTGCGCTATAAGCTTGAAGACCGGTTGAAGGGCAAAGATGACCTGGAGGTTGAGGACTGGCAGGAGGACGGAGCGCAGGGAGACGAGGTTAACTCCAGCATCAGCATCAACAACAACAACATCAACGACAACAACATCAACGACAACAACATCAACGACAACAACATCAACGACAACAACAACATCAATAACAACAACGACTACAACAACAACAACAATGACAACAACAACGGTTACAGCGACAACAATAATGATGACAACCTCAACATCAACAACGAAAACGTCAACAACAACACCTACAACGGGAGCGCTGAACATGGCAGCAGCGGGGTGGAGAACGGTGCCCGCACATATCTGATCATCGTCAGCGACATGGGAGAGATGCCGCATGTGGATGCGGTGGAATTCGGGGTTGACAACAACAACGGCGTGGGCGGCAACGACGATGATGGTGGCAGGGATCACCATGACAACAGTCACAACAACGACAACAATAACAATGTCGACAACAACAACAACAGCGGTGATGGCGGCAGTGACGATTACGGCGCCAACGACGACCCCAGCAGCAGCAGGGCAGAGAGCATCAGCATGACGGGAGAGATGCTGCATGCGGACGTGGAGGGGAGTGGGCTTGACACGGATAAGAGGTTTGCCAATTTCCCCCCCCTCCCCCCTCTCAACCTTGTTGGTTGGCTGAAGTTAGGAGTGGGATAGTCACAGTTGGGACTGGGATAGTAGCTGTTGAGTGGTGTTGTCCGGCCCACAATATCAATCAACATCGGACTGCTGATTTCCCCACACACATGCATTACATTTAGGTTAGGGTTTCGTGGGTTGCTGTACATTTACAGAGATATAGTGGATTAGATGCATAGGGTTATAGGGACGCTGAACCCGATTTCCGGCAGATACACTCACATCTCTGTACATAGGATTTCGTGTTTAAATGATTGATTGATATAGAACACATCCATCATATGCGCCACATCATACATACAGCACACTTACATCACACATACATCACATCGGGGATTGTTTTACATACACAGTGATACTGTGGATCAGATGCATAGGAACAAAGGGTAGCTGGACCTGATTTCCAGCAGACACTTTCACATCTTTGTATAGGGACGCTGGACCCAATTTCCAGCAGATACGCTCTCATCATTGTACAGGGACGCTGGACCCGATTTCCAGCAGGTGTAGCTCCCCACCAATAGATGGAGCCTTCGACGTCGGGATCTACTTATCGGGGATGCTCTTATCACCTCGATAAGTAGGTTTCCCATATACGAAGTTAAAAAAAAATAAAAAAAAAATGGATCTGGGTGCACAGGTGAGAGTGGAAATTCCTCCAAAATGGCGTGTGTAGCGGTACCCCTACGGCCTGGCAGTGAGGCCGGACCAGTTTCAGGCTGTCGGCCTGACCCTGGTCCGGTACCAGGTTTTCCCGTACCTGGACCTAGGCCGGTATATCACTTCGGCCTAGGCCCAGGGCGGGAGGTTCATTCATTCAGTGGTTCGTTCATTCATTGAGCCGGACTGGACCTTCACTCGGCGGCTGCTTCTCGTGTGTCTCCATCTCCTCTCTCTCTCTCTCTCTCTCTCTCTCTCTCTCTCTCTCTCTCTCTCTCTCTCTCTCTCTCTCTCTC